GACTTCGAAGCACGTTTCTCCTCTGGCCGCTAGCTTCAGCGTCCACATGATCGGCGCCTTCCGGAGGGTTCCTCGGAGTGGACAGTGGGGGCATGATACGGGGGCTTGGGGGGTGGGTGGTAGCCCACTGCCCTGCATCCAGCCCTGTTCTGGACCTGGGCCAGTGGATGTGCCTGTCCGCCTGCCCTCGTCTGTCCTCTCTGTCACTCTCCCATTTGCACATCCTGACTGCCGTGGGGCTCCTTAGTTCATGTACAGTCACATCTGTTTAGCTGGACTGTCCGTGCTCGTGTAGAGCAGACCGTCGGCCAGCAGCATGGGGGCCTGGGAACAGGTGTCCTGCGTATGGCTCTGCAGGCTGGGCTGCCTGAGCGGGGTCCCCGAGGGTGAGAACTCCACAGGGGATCCTGCTCACACACCTGCGGGCCTCCCCGGCTGGACAGCAGCAGGGTGCCCCAGACAACCTTTTGGGGGAGGCAGAGCAGTTAGAGGTGACCCGGGGAGGTGAGATGGCAGATGTCCTGGGGGTGTGACTGCACACAGGCATTCCCCACCCCAACTTTCTGATTCAGCAAATCTGGGGAAGGCCTGGGATTTGCACCTTTATGGAGTTCTAAATGAGGCTGGTGCCATGGGGGACCCCATGCTGAGAACCAATTCAGGGTGGATGGGGCCATCTTTTAAGCAGTGAGTGGCCCCCGGGGCAGAGCAGGCAGTGTGGCTCCAAGGTCAGGGTTAGGAGTTTGGAGGTGTGTAGAGGGCAAGGTCATGGGGGACGCAGCTGAGGCCATCGGGGAAGTGACCAGAGGTCCTGGAGAGGACTCATAGAAAGTAGAGGGTCAGGAGCCCCGCCCCGGCCCCTTGGCCTCCCTGGTCAGACCCTCACCCAATAGGCCACCCCGGGCTCACAACCCCTGGGAGGTGCCCCAGGAAAGGATGTGCTGTCCTTGGGGCTGTGGGCTTTCTCAGGGTGCCCTGCTTCCCGTCCATTAAGGATGAGCCCATGTGTGGGAGACACTCACGTGCCCTTGCAGACCACCAGGTGGGGACTGTGCTGTGCATGTGGGGCTATGCAGGGTGCTGGACAAACATCCTTGAACAGATGGAAAAAGCTGGAAGGATTGTGCAGAGGGTAGCTCAAAGGGGGCATAGCCTGTGAAGAAAGGGCCCCACCAGGGAGCTGGCTCTCTGCCCTGTCCCCCGCAGCAGTGGGAATACCCGTAAACGAGCAGTTCCCAAGGCTTTCTTCCAGGGTGTCCCTGATGGGGCCACATGACAGATGTGATGGGATACCATCAACTGGACATTGGACGGGGTCGGTGCTAATGCAGCCCAAGTTATCCAGGAGCGAATGTGTCTCATGTTGGGGTTTATGGATATTGTCTTTATGGCCGCTGCCAGGCTGAGCATCCAGATGACTGAGCTGACACGTTTATGGCCGACCCAAGTCCAGAGAGGACGTCGTCAGCACACCGGAGGTGAGCAGTGCAGAACTGAGCCCCACCCAACCCCCCCCCCCCCGGCCGGCCCTGTGGTGCCCTTGCTTTGTAAACACAGGGAGGACAGACTGCCCAACACGGGGGACACCCCCAGGACCCCTCACCGGGCGTCTGGGCACCCGCCGCTGGCCCCCACCCACTCACGTGCCAGGGGCCCGGTTCTGACGTTTCCGTCACAGACCAGACCCAAGACGGCACCCACTCATCCTCTACACACACCAGAGTCTTCTGGTACAGGTATTTTGTCGGCATTTTGCTCAGGATCACGAATCTGTTTTGGAGTGTTAAACCCTTGAAAAGACATGTGCTTGGTCAGGCTCAGTCACTGAAACTTCCTGGTTTTCCTCTTTCGAAAGCCACCGTGCGCACTGCCAGACCTCCTCCAGGTGAAACGTGGAAATAGGATTTGTAAAAGGCAAAGGAATTCAGTTTTCTGGCCTTCCTTAGATCTAAGCTGCATGTAGAGAAGCTCTTTCACTCATGCACCCTGCAAACGTGTGTGCAGTAGGTGAGTTCAAGGTGAGTAGGTCAAGAGGAGACATAGATGGTGTCCCCAGGACCCCCGAAGCGCTGAGTGGTTTACCCCTTGAGCCCCGGTTCCTGCCCCTCCCTCAACTGCCATACCCCTGGGTGCGTGCTTGGCACCTGGCCACGTGAATACGCTGCTGTGGAGGACACTGTAGAGTAAAGGGCTTCTCAAACCTGGGTGCCCTCAGAATTGCCCAGGCACTGTAGGAGGTGGAGTAGCGACCCCCCAAGAGCACCTACTTCCTAACCCCAGAACCTGCAAGTGTTGTGTGACATGGCAAAGGGGAATTATGTGTGCAGGTGGGATTAGGTACCTTATCAGTTGACCTCAAGATGGGGAGATCATGCTGAATTACCCAGGTGCACCCAGGGAGATCACAGGGTGAAAGGAGGGCGGAGAAACGCGGGGGGAAAAGACTCGCTGACCTCACTGGCTTGTCCAGGCAGGAAGGGGCCACGAGCCCAGGATGGCAGCATGGGGGCCAAGGCGCAGAGCTACCCGTGGGACTTGGGGCACATTTCGGGGGGGGCACTCTTGAGTTAAATCCTTTGTAATACTCAGCTCCACTTGGGAGTGGGGGAGGGGGCAAGAGCAGCCGCGACAGGCGTCCTGGACAGGGTCCCCTGTGACCCTCCAAGAGACTTTGTCGGCCGGGACTTTTCAGCACCCCGGACAGCGTTTGTCCTGCCCAACAACAGGAAGGCCATCCGTGGTCTCCTGTGGCAAAGTCACACAGCAAGCCTGTGTGTCGGGGCCCACCTCCTTAGATCTGATGCCTGGTTCACAGTGTTGTCAGAGGAGAGAGAGAGGGGAGGAGGAGGAGAGGAAGGAAATGGATGGAGGGAGCGAGGGAGGAATTGGATAGAAGAATGGAGGGAGGAAGGACCTGGGTGGCTCAGTTGGCTAGACATCTGATTCTTGATCTCAGCTCAGGTCTTAATCCCAGGGTCCTGTGCCCTCCTGTGCACCCCTTCCTCCAACTCTGTGTTGGGGTCCATGCTGAGCGAGGAGCCTGCTTGGGGTTCTCTCTCTCCCTCCCTCTCTGCCCCTCCCCTGCTCTCACTCTCTCTCTCTCAAAAATAAACAAATAAATATTTAAAAAAATAAGAATGGAAGGACAGAGATGGGGGAGGGAGGGAGGAAATGGATAGATGGATGGAAGGAAGGGGTTGGAGGAAGGGGTGCATGGGAGGGCCGGTGGGGGTGGTGAGCATGCTGGAGCTGAGAAATGAGGAGGCGCCCCTGCACGGAGGCTGCAGGAGGCGTGGTGTGCAGTGAGTGGTGCCACTCTCCTCTGGAAACAGTAGGAACCTGTTTCTGTTCCTTCTTAACACATATTCGAGTCTCTGAGAAAGTGTTTAAAGGACAAAGGGTAGTGTTTCTCAGAAAGAAGGTCGGGAGAGTGGCCAGCACTCACTGGCGCTGGCTGTGGCTCCAGCCAGACCCCAGCCCTTGCCTGTGCTCA